ACTGAATGCAGCAAGATAACTGTGTTCTAGCAGAACTGGGGCCTATTGAGAAGAAAGCAAGAGACTGGCCCCTCCTTCTGCACTTGGAATTTGCCTGAAGAAAGCCCATCTTTGCATTGCATCACCCCAACTGAGGACTGGGGAGTGACAGCAGCAACAGCAGAGGTGCTGCTAGTTCTTTATTTATTCCCTAACATGTATTAATCAGAGACTTATTCAAATATTTTGGTGCTATTTTTCTGCGCTGTTCTTTAGTTTAAGTGGATTCTTTGGGTTGTTGGAAGTAACACACCACTAATAAAGGCTTGATAACAAAGTCTTTCCTTCACTCACAAAACACTCCTCAGGAAAATGAATCTACATGTCAGCAATGTTAAGCAGCACCCCAAGCCATCACAGAGGTTCAAGCAACATGGCACACCAGACCGATATACTCCTGAAAGTGAGTTTGTACATGAGTACTATTGTACAGTATGCTATAGCAAACACGGTAGGATGAGTTAAGGAGGCAATTTCTGCTTGTGGGTTGAATTACCTTGATTTTATCATGCATTTTATTCCAGACCCTTAGTATAATGGGACTAAGATGATTTTCATTCTAGAACCCTGGTGACTAACATTCCTGAATGCTGAACTTTTCAGAACTCCAAATGTTTAATGCACAATCTATTAAAGCACAACCCCTCCAGGAGCTAGAGTCCACTGTAATAATTTTCTAATAATACATAGCACAATATGTTTAGATTGGACATTAGGAAAAAATTCCTAACTGTCAGGATGGTCAAATCTTGGAATAAATTGCCAAGGGAGGTGGTGGAATCTCCCTCTCTGGAGATATTTAAGAACAGGTTAGATAGACATCTGTCAGGGATGGTGTAGACGGAGCTTGGTCCTGCCTTGAGGGTGGGGGGCTAGACTCGATGACCTCTCGAGGTCCCTTCCAGTCCTATGATTCTATGAATAGAAAGATGCATAAATTAGATGAATTAGAACACAGGGACTTTAACAATTCAAGTGTAAGATAGAATAGATACTTCAAAAGCAGGTTTCACATGATCAAATTTAGATTAATAATTATTTATTTGAACCTCCAAACTCTGAGTTTTGGCTTCAGGGGCCAATCTGGGTTCAAACCAGCCTTGATTTTGTGTTTTTGCTTTGCCCTTGCTGATGACATTTAGTAAATCTAGAACAAAAGTACCCTTTTCATCACAGAGCTGTAGCCAGGGTTATTAAACTAGGGTTATTAAATGTAAGGATTGAATTGCTAGAGCAGCACTGCTGACAATAATCTATACCAGTGGTCCCCAACACGGTACCCATGGGCGCCATGGTGCTCGCCGGGGCATTTATGTGCACCTGCCTAGTGATCAGGGCTGGCCCGAGCCACTCTTGTGCCCCGGGCTCCCGGCACATGTGCAGCTCCTGCCCCAGGTGCACAGCGCATGCGCGGTGCTGCCTCCGGGTGCACGGCGCCCAGCAGCCCCAGAAGGTTGGGGACCACTGGATACAGTTCTTGAAAAAAGAGATTTATTCTGATGGCTCTACTCAGAGGAGTCTTTCCTGTAGATTTCAACTGGACACAAGGTGGCACTCTCTGTACAGCAGCATCACCAGCTCTTTAAATAAAGATAATAAAACAGGATGGGGAATTCAACTTCAGTCCTTTTTAGGACACCTGCTCCTCCCCCCCTCCACTGTTCTTTCCCCTTCTCATATTCTTCTCTCTAGTTTGGAGCACATCCCAGAGCTCAAAATGTCAGAGAGCCTTCAGAGAGCAGGGATGCCTTTGGCTGAGCCTAAAGAAATGCTGACGTGAGTCCCACCCAGCCCTCTCTGATTGCTGGAAGATCGCTCCAGAGCCTTTAGGTAATATGTAACAGAGGATAGTATATAGACCCCTTCTAAAAATCCACTGTAGGCTTTTGATTTCTGCTGCTTCCCCCTTAGGATAGCATCACTGAAAGAAAGTGCAGTGAAGTGGAGATTGGGGGAGGGTTTATAGAGATACTCTCCTGCACAAGTCTTTTCTACCCCACTCAGCCCAGCACCAGTAGGTCAGATTCAATTTCCCAGCAGGACAAATGGAGGTTCCCAAGTTTGTTTTAGGATCACTAGAGCATAATGCAGCATCAGGGCTTCAGAGTCGCTCTGATGAGCATCCACCATTTAGGT